CTCTGCTTCTGGTCCGCTGGGTACCCGGATTGGCGGGGAACCTGTTTTGCACCATAACAGAGCTTCCTGTCAGATCTCTGATGCAATGGCGGCTCAGGATCGCGTCACAAGCTCGTGCTTGAAGCGGAGGGGCAGGCAGAGTGTCTGGCTGGTCGCAGCGCTGAAGATGACCTCGATCTCACCTGAGGGGGAGCATCGGCCCGCTTAGGAAAGAAGTGGGTCATCATCTTAGATTGATTTTGAGCATCCGCAAACTTCTCTAAGAACGCCCATACGGCATCAAAGAGGCCTCGGGGTTTACTGGGATGTCGTGCAGCTGCGATTTGTCTGAGTTGCAAATTTCTGTGAGCATGGGGCTGCCCAATTCGAGCATCAGGCTGCCCATGCTGCGCCCGACTCCCTGGGCGACCTTTTTTGCTACACACAGGGTGAGATCCGCTGCTGTGCGCAGCTTTCGAAAAGACTTTGGGTCCAGGCCTTCTTCATCCAGGGACTTCAGGAGTCTAGTTTGGAGTACTTTCAGGGTCATTGTATGAAGGGCAGATGCTGCGTGTCCAGCTGAAATATGTAATGCCTTCTCGGCAGTGTGGGCTGTAGTCCAACATGGCCTTGAAGGCAGCGAAGCCGACTTCCATCCACGGGACGGACACAGGTGAGCCACGATGGCCTCTTCAACGGGATGTGACCGGGGATAACCATGTTTATCTGCCCCTTCCACCACCGAAAGTAGGTGGGTTCCTTGGGCAGGGGCTCAGGCTAATAAGAGGAGCGCCATGACCGTGTGAGCTCATCGTGGAACTCAGAGAAGAAGGGAGCTGGTCTCTGCGGGGCGTCCAACTGGCGGCCTGCATGGAGAGAAGACCCATCCATCCTCTTATTTACCGGCTGCTCTGGGACTGACCTCTCCAGCCCCATCTCGGCCACAGCCTTTGAAATGATACTTATGAGCTCCCCATCCAGAGAAGTTGGAGGGGTGCTCATCTCTTCCATAGGCGCTGGTAGACATCATGTCGTCTTCCAAAAATGACCAGGTCCCACACTTCGGAAGAAGGGCAGAGGCTGTCCTCAGTGTAGGATACTGGGGGCTCTCATGGAGGATGAGAACACGGGTGCTGGGCCAACATTAATTCATCAGCAGAGCCTCCAAAGGGAGCTGTTTGCAGCCTCTCCGCCGGCTCTGTGGCGGTAGGAGGGGGACACGCAGAATCCAGCAGGCCGCCGTTGAGCCTCACGCAGAGAATCTTGATAGGCAGGTCCTCACAGGTGTGGGAATCAGATTTTCCAAGCCCCCCTTCAGTGTGTGCGCGGCCCAAGCACAACACGCATTCGTTGTGCAAGTCCAAAGATTCTTAGATAATCTGACATTCAGCACTACCTATATAACGGCTGGGCCCACCCAGCGTGTGAGCGCTCGAGCGCCATTGGCTATTGCAAGTGCAATAGCATGATTCAATCAGGCTTCAGGAATTTCGGAGAAAAGAGTTTCCCTAAAGTGTAAGCTATTACGCAATTTCGAGAGACCGACTCGAAAGGGAACTAAGCAATTCTTGCCGCCTGCCATTCTCAAGTAAGCCTAAAGGATTTGGACATTGACTGGTAATCTTTTAAATGTTAATGACATTAATTAGGTGCCATGGAGATCTGAAACCATTCAGCTGTGTAGAATTTCAAAATCATTTGCGATTTATAATCTCACATCTAGAAGAGTGTTGTGTGCACGTTTTTTTGTGCGCTCTCTGAATCACACGTACGCACATTGGAGAAATTATCGTAAGCTCAAATGTAGGATGGTTTCTACGCAACATTTTATAAATGAGGCCCTCTGTCTCCATTAGCAACAGGCCACAACCTCAACTGAGCAATCAACCCACCAGAAAACAATGCTCATTAAAGCAGTGTATACTGCATTTCTTGCCATTTTTTATTGTGCTTTTGTTAGTCAGAAAACAAAATGGACAAACCTGTAGAACATACCGTAGTCATGTGAATGATGTGTTTATTTTATGTTACGTCTTGCCAGTGATTGATTAAAATTACAAAGAAATCAATTGCAATTTTCATTCTCATTAAATATGCAGAACCCCTGATGTCTGCGCTACATTGGGGGAAAGTAAAGGGCAAAGGTCAGGGAGAGTGGCCACCAAATGTGCAAGTCAGTCACTAATTGACTTACTGGAATTCAAGCCAAACAGAACAGATTTAAATCCAGACATGAACCCATGAAATTCAATAAAAAGGGGCACATATGTAAATCATTGAAAAACATAAAAAACTTCTATTTGGGGAAGCAAAGAGAAGAAAAAGGAACATATGAGATGTCTGTAGTCTCAAGATTTCCAGGAGGTGGCACCATAGTGCTGGTTCGAACAGCATTAGTTATCTACAAACCTCAAAGAAAAGCTAAAAAACGATAATTACTTTTTGGCACATTTGTTCATTTCCTTTCATCTCCTGCTTGAACACCTATAATATAATGTACACAACATAAAATCAATATGAAAGATGAAAGTATGAGTGATGTGTACGGAACGAAAATCACGGCTTGCGAGTTATCAGAAGATGAGAGGACGAAAACTAGTACATATGGCTCAGAAATGCAGTTCCAAGTCTCCAGAGTGGGACGACATTCACAAAAATGTACACAGACTTGCTTTTGCTCTTCTGGATGAGCTAAAGGGAGGGGCATGATTTTCAGCAGGATGGGGAAATTAAATAGGTCATCTTTAATTAAAAATTTCCGGCATTTCTGGGAAGATTTTATGCAAAAGCTACCTATGGATTTAACAAGGAATCGGTGTGTGTATTTTTCTGTGGATCTGAATGGTAGGGTCAGGGCTTGTCTGCATTGGAGGACATATACACTAAGTAATTCACAGTTATCAAAAGGGGCCTGACACCAAATGGCCCCTCAACACCTTCATTCAAGCCCTTGTACAGTCAAACAGACTGACGGTTTAATGCAGAACGGCTGTTTTAGGAGGGGAGGTCAGGATTTCTGTTTATGAGCTAAATTATTTTCTTGCAGAAAATAGCATCTAAGATGAGGGAATAAACTTTAGTCAGAGTAACCACCATATTTACGGTACATTAGCACAAATGAGGCTGTGAGGCAATAAAAGTACAGTCTGTTCAAAGTACAGTCTGTCTTAAGGTCATGGGTCACACCCTATTTTCAAAACCCTTACTTTCGGCTGGAAAAGTATACATTTCTCTCTTTCTCTCTCTCTCACACACACACACACACACAGAAATACAGTTAATTCAGTTAATAGACAAATATTACAATTTAAAATAATTGTTTCCTATTTTAATATATTTTATAATGTAATTTATTCTGGTGATGTTAAAGCTGATTTTTCAGCATCATTACTCCAGTGTAATACATATAATCTGTTGATTTGCTGCTCAAGAAATATTTCTTATTAACAATGTTTAATATTTTTGTGGAAACCGGGATACATTTTTTTGTAGAAATCTAGTAAATGTAGAATGTAGAAAACAGAGTAAAAGTCTTTAGTGTCACTTTTGATCAATGCGCTCTGAATGATTCCTTAAAAAAAATCTAGTGCTAGTGTGTATATAGGGTATAATTAATATATATATAGTTCACACACACACACAGACAGACACACACACAATCTAAAAAAATAGATTCTAAAGATCATTCATCTGTAAAAACAGTAATACATTAATGTGTTAAATGAAAAAAAAAATCAAATCCCCAAATTAATATTCATTTCTCATAATGCTGTAACACCTACATTTTTAACTGATTTTTCATTCCTAGTAAATTCAGTAGAATGCCACTCCCATATTTAACTGTGTGTACAGAATGGGATTGAGTGACGAATATTTAGCTGCACTGTAAACTGGCTGTTCTTCAATCGCTCACAGATTCTTTTTTATTCATGTCAAGATAAATATGGTATCTACTCAAGAGTCAAAGTTGCTCCTACGGAAGGGGCGTACCTACACAGTGTTACTGGCGTGTCATCAAAAACACTCGTCTAATGAAGCACTGAGAAGGTGTTGTCGTCCTTGGCTGTTTGCATGCGGACTGATTTGAGCTGACAATCAAATGGGTGAAGCATTAACTCTTTCTGCTGTCACAGTCTGTTTAGAAAAACACAAGACTGAACAGAAATGAGCATCAGTGTGTCTGTGTTTGCATGTCCCAGGCTTCATTTTAAATATACAAACAGGTCATATGCATCTGTTGAGCCCTAATGGAGAGTAGAATTAGACAGGTGGGAATGAATGGCTTGAAATGCTAGCACCTTGTTTTGTGCAAATCACCCCCGAACTCCATACAAAGAGTAAAATCTTCACCTTTTTTGACAGGTGGTTAACTATGCATATATGCCAAACATTCATATATAGATCTATATATTTTTTGATTTTTAAAAATTTATATGAAAACTATCGTATATACATTGCTTGTGATTGATATAAAAAGCAAATATTTTAGTCATTTGACCATATATACAGCTGCAGGATCTCTGAGCTTTTTTTCTGATTGTTTTTTCATTAAATCTTTTGTCCTTAGCTTCATCTTTTAAATAATTGTCATTCTAAAATTCATTCTAAATGAATTCATAAAAATTCTTCTAAGCATCATATTTCACAAGCTACAAAATCCACCTATGAGGAGAAAAAAAAAACATTAAATAAAGAAATAAAAAAGGCCAAAAAAAATGAGCCAAATGCTGCTTACAGCAGGTTACCATATAAGCCATACGGTGGAAACTTTTACAATTATAGATTCTGTCTTCTGGTTTGTTTATGAGATGTTGAACACCAGTCATCACCATCAAGATAAGCTGCAATATTACAGATGTTTCTCGTCCCACAGTGGTTCTGTCATGCACACCTCACACACATTTGTTCACACACTCGCTTACACGCACACTTATTGCAGTTTCTTATTCAGAATTTCTTATTACCAGATTAAGAAGACTTTTGATTTAGCAAAGTCATATTTGGATAAGAAACTAGTGTGGTTGTGTGCATGAAAGCGTGTAACTGTATTGGGAACACTTTTTTTTTATGTGAAAAATTACAAACGAAAAATAACAAAAGTGGTCTGTGTGAAGGGCTCAAACATGAACACACAGCATTACACCCCACTGTGGGATGTTCAATAAAAGATGGAAGACCAGGTTCTGTAAAACTATATAAAACAAAAGCAAAAAAGGGGGTGGTACAATGCAAATCAATCAAACCAGTCAACTGTCATTTCGTATGGTGATGTAACGTTTCATGCTACAGTCCATCATAAAAGGATAACCATCAAAAAATCATCTTCAAGAGTGTTTTTTGTCTTTATATATATGTATATAATATCATATATAAGTTTTATATTTATGACAAAAATGTTATATTCATATATCTATATACTTTTTTTCTGTCAAATATATATGTATATAATTGGTAAAAATGAGTAAATTATTGGTGGAATAAATCATCTAGGGAGAGAGACAGGTGCAGTTTTGCACAGTCCATTCTGTTTGCTGTCCCTCTCCATTTTCAAAGCTATTTAAATACATTGAGATATTCTATCTAATGTCATATTTCCTTTGGAAACCCAAAGTAAGAGTCTGATTATGAAAAAAAGCCACTAGTATTGGTTAAACATTCTCCCAGTGTAGTACGTCCCTCAGCCAGAAGGGGGCAGGTGGTAGACAGAGAGGATCCGGCCACGCCCAGTCTGCTCATCCACTCCTAAAAAAATACTCTGAAAGGCAACTGAACTTCCTTTTCTCAACAGCATCCCTCCTTTTTTTTCTGGATTAATGATGCAGTGGTAAGAAGCAGATAGTAAAGTGGGGGAAAATGGATTTGGGATTACGGGATTAGTGGGTGTTTATCATGCTAATAAAACTGAAGAATCAATTATGAGATGTTCTGCGTGGGCTTTGTTCAGACAAAGACACGTTTTGGTGTATTTTTGTCGCTAAACATGAAATCGGAATTTTCAAACTACATATGTTCTGCGGGTGGTTTGAAATTTGATTTAAATGCAGTGTGAATTTAAAGTAGTTTTTCCTAATTCAGTATGAAATTTGTATACCCTCAGTTTTGTCAACTATATAGTGAATAGTAAATGAGTGAACGACTGAGTGGTTTCAGCATTTGCAAAAATGCATAAAACACTTCAATGAATCATGAGTTCAGCACCACGGCAAGAATCCATGACGAACATGATTCCAGATTTCGTTTCTGAATGTTGACTATACTGCCTGAAAAAGCGGATCTGATTTCATCAGTCAGTCCTAAAAATCAGATTTGTGTACAGTGTGAACAAAGTCAATTTGATCACTAAATTCACATCCCCTCCCAAACACACAGCACACATGTGATTTGATGCTGGCAGTGATGTGGGAGGGGGCTTAACATAGTGCTACAAAAATGGCATGGAGCAAACACCCACTTTACCAATGATAGATTTAGGAAATAATGGGAGATGGTCCTCACTGCAGAACATGAAATCCACGGGGAGGAGTCGGATCCAGATCCAACTCCTCCCACCTTACATATACCAAACCTACCCATCTCCGCCCCCTGATCCCTAAAAACCCACCCCTAATCCCTAATCCTACCCATCTCCACGCCTTGGATCTTGATCCGACTCCTCCCCGTGGATCTCATGTACTGCATTGAGGTGCTACTGAATAATGGGGTTATTTAAAGCTGAAGTGTGTCATTTTTGCGGCAATCAGAAATGGCAAAATGAATTATTGCGTTCAAATTGTTTCCCAAATGTACCATTGCTTGCACAAACCTTGCAAATGTTGGTGTGTCGGATTGGTTGGGATGCTCAAATGATCAGAGCAACGCTTTGAAGGTAATATTAAAGGTGGGGTATGTGATTCTCTTTTTTGTACATTTTTTCAAAATAACTTGAAATCCTATTCCTAACCCACTTACAGCCACTGAGTTAGAAGCATTGAAATGAAAATTAAGCAATTTAATCATCTGTGGAACGGGCAGGACTCGAAAAAACTCCAGCCAATCATTTCCAAGACCACCAGAATCATTGGACAGTAAGTCCGTCAATCAAACGGTTGTACCACACCCCCCTCCCCCCAGCGCGCGTGACCCCCCGTCGTGCGCATACTCAAAAGTTTGTGACGCATGCGCATCTCGTCAGTAAAGCCAGTTCCATGATTAGTAGTAAATCGTCATTACAATCTCTCGCGCATCTGAGTTTTCACTCGTGCATGATTGCGCTTCCATGTTCTTCGAATGGGTGGAGTCAGAGTCGGCGTTGGAGGAAAGAAGGTAGGACCATTTGAATTGTATATTTTCAAAATCTGCCGGTCGTTTTCCAAATCACATACCCCACCTTTAAGCTGGGATAGGAGAAAGTATTTTAACATCAAAATGACACACTTTGGCTTTAAAGTTCAAGAATCACAAGTAAAATAAAAAGACAAGCAAATAAGAAAATAAAGGAAAACTGTGTGGAGACTAGCTACAGGCAGAGGGAGGCGCTTGGTCAACTCTCCAGCAGCAGTTTAAGAGCGCGCTCAATGTTCATGCGATGACCGACGCGCGTCACACCCAGCTCAGCGAAGTCCTCCTTGGTCAGAGCGGGCAAATGGGAGCCCTCGATCTCATGCTCCTGGAATCGCTCCCGGTGTTCGGCCAGGTTAATGCTGGCCAGCCAGTCGCCTACGTCATACTTGTTCCACAGGTGGAGGGGCTTCTGGTGGAACGGCCGAAGGGCGAGCAGGGGGGAGGGCATGCCTGGCGAAGGGGCGGGAGAGGGAGAGCGACTCCGCGCACTGGAGCTCCTCATGACGAAACGCACTTCTTTCGGTTCGTGAGGGAGACTGAGGCTAGACGACTTAAGGATGGTGGGGGGTGTGATAGGAGAAGTGGCCAGGCCAAAGCCCCGGATGGGTCCCAGAGGATCTGAGCGGTCCGGGGAACCGGGGCTGGGCGTCCGCCGGGTCACTGGGTAGCGGCTGCCTGGTCTGATGGTGTAGGTGGTGCCGTAGCCTCTCTGAGAGATAGTATGGAGCTCCCCCAAACTGCTGAAGAGTCTAAAAGTAGAGAACAGAGAAAAGAGAAAAGGAAGAGAGGATGAAAGTCAACTTTTTTTTGAGAGAAATGGCAGGTATGAGTCCTGAGTTTCAGTGGCTCTCTTGCCCAGTTGTAGTAACAGCATCAGCTATGTTAGGACTCTACGCTTTGAGTTAGACGTGGCAAATGTATTAAACTAGTGTTAGTGAGATGCTTCATTAACGCGTTTAAGCTCTAACAGTAGAAGTGCAAAGGTGTTAGAGAGCTGTGGAGCAAAGATAGATAGAATATCTCATACGATCATGCATGATCAAGTTTATACAGAGTGAAATCAAAACTAAATTACCGAATCTTTAATTTTAGAGTTTTTAGAGTTAATATAGAGTTTTGTTTTTAGAGTTTATATATTTGTCATAGAACTAACATTTTAAGTTTCCTTCCGAAAATGCACCACATTTACGCACAAAAAAATGACTATTTAATGAGTTTCAATGTCTTTTTTGATTCTTCAGTGAAAATATCTAAAACTATCAGCACCAATTTACAATAAGGTTTCATTTGTTAAAATTAGTTAACTACATTCATTAACATGACCATGTACTGTATTAATCTACTAATACATTACTACTACTAATTACTAACTATATTTTTTATTAAGTAACATTAACAAAGATTATATTTTAAAGGGGTCATATAATGCCATTTTTGTACAAGTTAATATGAATGTTTAGGGTCTAAAATGAAAACTTTGTAATATACTTTTATTAAAAATTCTCATTAGTATTTTAAGAAAACACTAATTTAACCTGGTCAAAAACAGCTCTGTTTTTAGCACGCCGTTTCAGTGCATATGCCTTTAAATGATAATGAGCTTCGCTGACTCCACCCCTCTGTTCTGCTGGCGTTTTGACACAATGCACGTGGAGTAATAATAATAATAATAATTAATCACATTTATTTAGTGCTTTTCTGGACCCTCAAAGCGCTTCACATAGAAGGGGGAATCTCCTCAACTACCACCAATGTGCAGCATCCACCTGGATGATGCGACGGCAGCCATATTGCGCCAGAACGCCCACCACACACCAGCTTACTGGTGGGGAGGAGACAGAGTGATGAAGCCAATTGGTATATATATACATGGGGATGATTAGGAGGCCATGATGGACAGAGGCCACTGGACAAATTTGGCCAGGATGCCAGGGTTACACCCCTACTCTTTCGAAAGACATCCTGGGATTTTTTATGACCACAGAGAGTCAGGACCTCGGTTTAACGTCTCATCCGAAGGACGGTGCTCTTTTGACAGTATAGTGTCCCCATTACTATACTGGGGCGTTAGGACCCACACAGACCACAGGGTGAGCGGCCCCTGCTGGCCTCTCTAACACCTCTTCCAGCAGCAACCTGGTTTTCTCAGAAGGTCTCCCATCCAGGTACTAACCAGGCTTAGCCCTGCTTAGCTTTAGTGGGCAACCAGTCTTGGGCTACAGGGTGATATGGCTGCTGGCTGTCAATGCTTTCATGCATTTCATGGAGTGTTGCCTTGACAACAGTTGAGGGTATATTTTGGAGAAAGAATGGCAGCGGGAGTCTCTGAGGACACATCTGTGCAACCGTATCTGTTTGAACCGGAGTCAGACACGGAACAAGATGACGGCCGCAAAGAAGTTCGACAATTAAGGCTCGAACAGGACGTTTCTGAATGGTTGGTTAACGTAACTTTGACACTTTGACACTTTTGACACTTTGATCTATTTTTGTATGCACTGGCAGGGTAGAGAAGTGAGATACGAACGCTATGTGTTTACTGATGTATACGTTAGTTCAATGACGTTACAACTAATGGTCATGAACAACTTTTTTTCGCGATTTGTAAAGATTAATATAAAGGTTAATAAAACTTTACACTCACTTCTTCTGGAGGTGCAGCAGGGACATAAATAGTTGCTACCGATTCTTTTTTCAGGAGCAGCTTCTTAGCAAAACCAGCTTTACACTGACCCTCATTTATAAAGCAGTCTGGTGGTGAGAAATGATTCGCGCAAACATGAAAGCATTGACGTTGATCGTGGGGAATATTCCCTTCGAAAACAAAACTCAGCCACTGCGTCTTCAGCGGTTCGGATTTAGGAACATCAACAATTGTGGGAGGGGCGTCCGTTTTATTGACGTCACAAAAACGAACGGCTCAATTTGAGGCAGGGGAAAACATTTAAGGAGATTAAAACAAAAACACTTTATGGATTTTTATCATTATATGATGGTTGTGTACAGGCACTGCCAACACACATTTCAGTACAATCAACTTGTAAAAGTGCATGTACCATTATATGACCCCTTTAACAAATGTATTGGTCATTGTTAGTTAATGCATTAACCAATGTTAACTAACGGGACCTTATTATTAAAATGTTCTAGTTAAATTGAGTTAAATAGAAACAAACTAAACATATAGTTGACCAAATGCATATACATAATAATTTTTTTTATTTCAGCTGTTGGCATTAAAATCATTTATTAAGCTTGTCAAGACTGAAAGTGTGTTTAACCTCTTAACCTTCTCCAGAGCGTCGGCGCACTGAAGCGTTTTTTTATTTATTTAGTTCAAATATACTATCAGATTTAATGTTATACCTTGACAAACTATACATCATTAAAAAGATATAAGACTCAAGATTCAGTATTTGACCACTATTGTATTCTGAGAAACTTATAGTGACAGTTATGTCTTAATTTGTGTCAGGAGTTATGAAATGAAAAAAACGAGTCGATACCTTTAATATGAATTATGAGCGTCAGCTGGTCCATTCATAAAAAACACTCCGTGCTGTCCTCATGATAGCGATTCACAAAACAACGTCCCTGAGGGCTTTTAGCTCAACAATGTGCAGATGTGGAGAAATATTGATATATTCTCATAGATTCACATCATATTTCTATAGACAGGAATAATATTTATTGAATTTATACCCAAATGCGTCGATGTAATCATAATGATCGCTTCTTCCTGAGATGTGCTGTGTTTTCCATTCATACCAATAGCATGGGGGCGCTATTATGTCCAATAAAAGTCCATATATGGATCATGAAGAAGACCCATAGTCATGTGACATTCCAGGACGTCACTGAGTGATACAGAAAGTACAGAGATCGCTGTAACATGCAGATAAAGATGTTTTGAAGACAATAAACATGATTGCAATGATATTTGAGTTACCTGTGTTCTTCAAGCCATGCCAGGTATTTCATAATAATAGATTATATTTATAATGTAATGCTAATCGATATAGATTTCATCATCGTTCAGAACACTAAATAATACATTTTCTGTCTGATTTTTTTTTTATCTGAAGCCAAGTTAGATCACAGAAGATTATTTAAAACACTAGACTTGCGTTATAGTGAGTTTGGAGCGCAAACATAG